TACCTTCGGTCTCGCTCGTGAACGCTTAACTTCTAGACCGCTGAGCTGATATCCGACGGCGCTAATGTTTAACTTCAACCAATCCGTTATATTGTGCGATCGTCTACAGTTGTCTTCAGTGGATAAATGCCTCACAAAGGACACGGTTGGATTCCAATGGTCACGGCTTCTCACTAGAACTATAGAAAGTGCCCCTTGAAGCCAATCACTAGTGACAGCATTAAAACTATGATTATAGGGTTTCGGAATAATACAATGAATGGGTCTATGAAGTGTAGGTGCAATTATTTGGACACAAAATTGACGTCGTCTGTTATGGCATAAATCAGCATAATGTGTAATCAATTGGCTTAGACTGAGTACATTATGATGAAAGTATGTTCTCACAATTCTGCTGAGTATCTCGAGATAAAACGTCTCCTATTCAATATATTTTCACATCACTATTGAATTTAATTCCTTCAGTATAGTATCCTTCCGCAAGATTTTTAAATCTTTTACAATATGTGATAAACATTAACGGAAAACGAAGCCAGTTCAAAACCCGCCAAGCTCCCCACAACCTTGAACTAGATTTAAAAAAATACAGTAAAACTGGTGATCTCAGCATTTAGAAAATGTTAAAAAGTAGCATTTAAGCTGAGACTTACGCCTGAAAAACTAAATACATTTATGTTGTTAGCAAAGACTTTAGTGGTTTTCGGACATCAATAGACTATACAAATATTTTAACGGCTGAAAATCGCGCTGCAGAAACAAAATGCCCGCCGTTACATAATCCGTTCAAGGTCGTGGCAATAAAATGGGGGAGGTTTAAAGGTCTATCGCACCGTGCGTGAAAGTCCGTTATATGTATGGGATTTCAATTGTACTTTTTGTCATCAGAAAATGTTTTATAGCTAGACGCAGTCCCCATATGGCGTAAAGAATAGTCATCCGTAAACTGTAATACTACCCTGATCTTACATTAATTATTGGCTTCATTATCACGATTGAGTTTGAAATTGTTACGAGACGTCTTATATTTGCAATAGTTGAGAATGCTAGCATCTTTACTTGGCATTACTTCTGCCAAGTTTTGTGTGAAAATTTATTGACATCACCTGTTTGTTAAAAGTAGTATACAAGTTTGTTCTGTCACCATTGTTGTTGACATTCTTAATGAAACGACTTCGATGATGAAAGCTCATTGCTAGAAACTGATATATTTATTGTGACTGATTTTTCGGTTATCGTTAGTACTAACACCATTTTTACTGAACATGTTATAAATAAAGTGGAATAATTATAATACCTGGATGTTAGGATTTATTTATTTATTTATTTAAACATAATCATTGGTACAAGGAGGCACTAAATATATATGCGTCACATAAATAATTTGATTTGTGCGAGGGCTGGAATACTACCCGAAAGCGCAAACCGAATCAGATGATTTTCTTAGAGGGCTACGTGCCGAGCCTTTGGCCTCCAGATCTAATCCACGAGGCAGTGGAGCAACGTCAGGAGATGCAGTTCCATGGTAGTCGGTGACCAACAATAGGTTCATACGCCACTTGTTCCCTCAGGATACTGGAGCCCACGTGCACCAGTGGTTTGGATTCAGAGTTTTTCAACTCCCCTAGGTGGATCCTCCATATCCACCGAACCCATTAAAGCGCCGGACATTCGCTTATTGTCATATCAATTTCGTGAGAAAACACCCTCGCCGCGAGAAGGCAGTGAGTAGGACTTCCTTGGCAATAGCTGTATACGTGTGACCATATGAGAGCATTTTGAGCGGGAGAGCTGACACTGCCCTTCGGTCGTACCAGAGCATTTAAGTGCAGAATGTCAGGGTAATAACTAGATTGTCGATAAACACGACGTTCAGTCATCTGTGGACCAGCGTTTGTAATTTCATTTTTAGAAACATTGTCAAATCCACTCATATTAACTGTTTCATCCAAGTAGGATGAGACTAATTTATACACGACCTTTCAGCGACGATGAAGTGACCCTGAGAATATTCACCTGTTAACTAGGACTAAATGGCAGTTATAAAGGAGTTTAAGGGATTAAAATTGTGATTAAGGTTAAGAACTAGATTTAGAGTTTTCATCACGAACTGATATCAGGTAAATGACTGGACATTATCTAGCCAGATGGATGAATAAAGTTCACATTAAAATCCAAAACCTGTTATTTTGTGTTTGGCTCATCCACAAATTATAGTCTCGCTCCAAGTCGAATCGGTAAAGAAAAGTGACAATCAATCTAGTGAGTCATTTTGATTTTGTAAAATACCAATTTCTCAACATAATTCCCATTTCAAATTGTGGGCACCATAATTCATGTACATTGGTAATGAAAGCGTGTATTCTTCATTTAACTTGTTTGTACTTTAAGTAATTTCTTACATTTGAATAATTCCATATTTGCTCATGTACACTTTTTGTTAAATCGATTTAACTCACTATGCAGCTAGCTTTTGCTGGCTAGTTACGCGTTATTAGTATCAATAGATGTAGCGAGATTTATTTGCTTACTTTTGGCGAGATTTAATAATTCTTTATTTCACATAATTATAACGGTCTTTTAGTTGTAGTTCCTTTGATTTACAACAGTTAATTCTGGTATATGGCATTGAATCAGGGTTTGTGTAACTCATTCGAAACCTTATGCTGTCAACTTTTAGTTTCGATTATCAGATTGTCTTCATTTTACATCTGTGTTTTTGGTAATTATTGTCAATCGCTTTCGTCTCACACATTCTGCTCTTCACGCTCCTTTATGCTAAACACAAACTGGCACATCTATGTAATTTTCGATACTACTTCATTTAATGGTGTTAATGCAAATATATTCTTTCCACTGCAGAGTGATAGAGGGTTAGTGTTGTGGAAAACCAAGCGCTGCGTAAAGTAAAATTATAAGATGACACAAAAACTATAATTTGCAGAATGCATTCTTCTGAATGTACCGCGTTATTCGACTTTAGAATACAAACCTTTCATTCTCTCGCTTTGTGTTCTTTTATGGTTCGTTAGTAATCACTGTTTACTGCGCTGTTTCAGGCCTTTAACAAATCCACAATGAGCAATGGCAACACTTGTTACATTTGATGTCGAAGGACCCAGTACTTATGCATCTGAAAAATATGATAAACTGCCACTATTACTAGATAAACTGGTTGCCGATAACTCTGTCACTGCGGAAGCCCCTGATCCTAGAAACTACTTTGAAGCACATTTCAAAAATTATGAATGCCCTTTTTTTTCTGAAAAACTTCACCACCAGTACATTTCGGCTATACTTTATTATGTTTAAACGGCCAGACAGTACGGCAGGGAATGGTTAGTGAGTTCATGGTCAGTAAACTATCATCTCATACTTGAAAGCTACTGGATGGATCTTTGTTGAAAACTTGTCTTCATGCTCAAACTGTATTCAGATTAGGTATTCTAAGCAGATGGAATCTGAAGTAACCTGGTAATAGTCTTTCCACAAACTGTGCGTTCATCATCTCACCGTGGTGTGCTTTCTTTTCGGATAAAAGCTTGACCAGGTAGTTGATATAACTTTTATAAGTAGTCAATAGGATTCCCAAAAATATGCTAGCCGCTTAACAGCAATTGTGCAGTGAACTCTTATGGATCGTCAGATGAGAAGAAAAACAATCGTTTAATGTATCCTAGTTATGACACTGGGTTACTGAACGTCAGTCTACCAACCACTGCTCATCATGCTGTTTCATTCTTCAGACAGTGGAATATAGGTAAAATGATCTAACGTAGATATTTTCTGCAACAAGAATATTCATAATTTACTTGCCATGTGATCCAAAGCGGCCTCAAGGATTGATAGCTTACTCAGCAAAATAGAGTTCTGTAGTCATTCTACATAGTATCAAGTGTTCATATTTTCTGTGATCCACTGTTATTGGTACCTCCGAAGCTAAATATAACGTTCAGCCTTTGGCAGGTTAACGTTTACTCTGAAGGTAGATTGTTTGCTAGGGGAGCTGAATGTGCAGCGTTTGTGAAAGAATCTAGAACAGAGGTAACTAAAACAAAAAGTCGACAGTAGATTAAATACATAGGATGTACTGACACTTATTAATGACGGTCTTAGGAATAGCGTTTATGCTTTGACTTGATGTAGGGAATAAGTTTTTTGTTTACCTGTTGTGTCTTGCCAAAATGCTGGTGTGGCTTTTTATTATGACTGGACGCAACGGTTTACTTTACCTTATATGGTGGACAGGGACTGGTATTGCTCGATATAAGGAAGAAGGCAAAAATGTTAATGAAGATTTATTTATGCATAGACAATAGATCCTCTACAGCTTCAACCACTGAATAAAAATTACACTAAATTATTTATGATTTGCTTATCTGGTAAGTTAATATGAATATATTGAACTAAGCGGTGTTAGTATAAATTAGCCAATAAATAAATCCATGTATACAATCTATAATGTTAGTTGATTTAATTGCACTAAACATTACAGCAAATTACCGAGCTCTACATTTAATTTTTTCTGACAATATTTCACTTCTAAATTATGATCCTAATCTCAAATGTTTGATGTTTTCGTCGTTAAACCTGCTTCGGTTTGGGCACCCGGGCAATATCACAGCCCTCACACATGTCAAGTGAGGTTTGTGTGGCGCATATGTATTTGGTGCCTCCATGTACCAATGTCTATTTGTTAAAATAAAATAAAACTGATTATCTGTGTTTGGTAGTAAACACTTGGTGGTGTGTGACGTTCCTTTTCAGTTCGTCTATGCTTTCAACGTTCTCCTTTGTTCTCTACTCTCAGTTCTTTTCTGCTATCGGTTGCATCTTCTTTGTTTTCTATCTCGTCTTGATATGAGTAGGGGAAGTGTGATATGTTTTATCGATACATGACTATCAGGTCCTCCTACATTGTTTCTGCCTGTACCCTTTTATATTTATTAAATTTCTCAGTATTCTATGGTGATTCTCAAAAATATTTCATGTTTTAGATTTAGATGACCAATACTTGGAGCATTCTTTGTTTATCCAAATTTTCCAAACAATTAAATGATGTTTTTAAAAAATCTTTATCGATAACTAATCGTATAAGTTTGATTAATATTTACTATGTTTTGTCACCTGGAGAAGTTCTTTCCACTCCTGTTTCTACTGTTTATCAGAAATTGGTTAAAAAGATGCAAGATATAGTTGTACCAGATACTGCTTTATTGTATCCTCTTCCAAGGAAGCAATTTTTGGCTGAATTATGGATTACCTCTGGGAAGCTGTTGGTGGTTCTTGAATCTTCATTATTTATTGAGGATGTACCTCATTCGGTAGACTTTCAAAAAGACCTCACGATCGTAAGTGTAAATTTGCTTTCAAAGTACTATATTTCTTCATCTCCGAAAATGTTTTCTCGTGTGTGTGTAAATATCTTACCCACTAAGATCTAGTTTTTTCTATATTAATAATCAACCATAATTATCGTTACAAAACTGTTGCTTTAGAATGAAGTGTAGTTATAATTATGTATGTATGATAAATTGTCACAGAAGATATATCAGTCAACTATTTTACCTCGATCTTTAACACCTCATCAACACATCCATTATGTCAAATATAATGTTGCTGGCTACATAGCTTATATCTGGTTACTCTAATTCTTCCGATCCATATGACAACAATTTCATAACCTTTCAAATATCACATCTTCGTCTCACGTCCTACGTTGTCTGACTAACTTATCATCCCTCAGTATGTCTACTGAGACTCCTGGAATCTTTACTACTAACATAAAATTTATATTAATAAGTCATATTTCGACTCTCACTGTATTGTGGCCGATAAGGTTTCTACGTCGCTTAGCAATTACATGAAGGTTCATCTGTTTACTTTATAAACTAGACATTGTGTGACGTTTAGTGCTTACGTATGAGGGCTTGTCTCGTGAGATGTAAGAAACTGAAATTAATGAACTGGTTGTAAGTTAAATGTACAGACCAGAGGAGCTAGGACTACCAAAGAGTACACTTCAAATACAAGAACACAACCGAAACAGATTTTCAAGTTATTCGAAACCCCACCAGGAGTCGAACTGGAAACTTTCGAACTTCATTGTAGGCTCTTGATTCTTAGACTACTCCTTTAAAATCCAATAATTAGCGTTATCAATTTTAATCAGTTTGAGATATAACGTTATGGTCATTCATTGCGATTGGTGATGACTATCTCATCCAATAGACCTAGGCTCCACCAGTTGTAATACTGGCTTCGATTATGTAGACACATTCTAGTGATGATATTTTAGCGGATTCCATTCTAATCAATACTTAAAATCACTAGGACCGGAATAAAAGAGATAGAGTAGACAACTTTTGTCTACGTATTTCTCTAGAATGGTTACCTATTTTGATTTAGTCTCTGCTGTCCCATCTCTGTTTTTCTGAGTAGTCTTAAGTATGATGCAACATTGTGACTTAAAATGTTATTTGAAATATGCTTAAAAATAAAACCATTGGTGACTGGTATATTTTCTTTTATGCCTTTAATTAACAATAAGATTTACTTTTGATTAAAAGTAGGTCTTGATTGTGCTTACTTGTAAACTGCAACATTTATTACTGTCTTTTCAACTGTTATACATCATTGATAACCAGGAATAGAGGTTTCATAAACATCGACCATAATTCCTTAGATTGAACGATCAAGTCTCTTAGTGAAACGATATATATCTAACATCAACTTCTGGCACTGTAATTTCTGATGATCTGTTCAGGATTCTGTGCTATCCCCCAAGAATAACGTAAAAATAATTCTCTGTAATTTTCTAGATGCAAATAATGTGTTTTCCCAAGCTTGTCTCACATTGTATCGTACACCAATCCTATGTTCTAAGAAAGTAATTGTTAACAAATAACCTTATCATGTCTGAATATCAAATCGAATTATGAATATAGTCAGCTGTTTTTTTTCAGTGAAAAAGTGCGAAGCATTACGGTGAAAACCGTTAGCAATGTTTCAGTTTCTTATGATAGTCTCATAGTCTCATAGTAGTTCATATCGTACTTTAAAATGTAAAGATCATCTAGCCATGCTCAACATAGAGCCCGATATGTATGTGCATGCGTTTAGGTTGCCACACAATATCAGCATACCGAGATAACAGCAGTAAAGGTGGTAATTGTATAAGTGGTCATAGGACAGATTACACATAGTCCATATGATTCGAGAGGTAAATATTAATTAGTTAAATAATAAAGTATAAGAAAGGAAAGGTGTTCTAGATGTGTAAGTTAAATCCCGTGAACTGTCGCAGCTGGTCCAAAAGTTTGTTGTCGGTTAAATAAATCTCAAGCTGATTAGTATATGCGTGAGTGGAAAACACTTTAACGACCAGTCTTTCTGGTTCGTTACGTCAGTGAGATCGAAAATAGTGTCATGTTCCGTAGAAATCACATGATCGTGTCTGTCATGCGATTGGACCACTATTAGGTCTATTTAATCAAATTTCTGTGAGAATATAATTTATGAACGACCTTCAAGCAACTCTAAAATGACCTTGGAATGTCCACCAACTGACCCGAATTACATGAGGGTTATATATTAATATGTAGAACTATGATTATGATTTACAGTTGGACGTTAAGGTTAGGAATTAGACTTAGTGTTTTCATCACTAACCGACATAAGCTATAATGCCAAAATGGTATTTAGCCAAATGAGTGAATGAAGTTTGCGCCGAAATCTAAACTCTGCTATCTTAAATCTGATTGATTCGTCCATGAATTATAGTCTAGCCCAAATTTCTATTGCATTTGGTTCATCATGATTATGTAGATGATGATCGGTGAATGGGACAAATTCAAAAGGTGATCTACTTTATCTGGTCATATTATTGATAAATGACTTGAATGGAGTGTTACTTAATAATACTACATTTAAGAAAATGACCAATTTGGGTTTCATTCAATTATGATATGCATCTTACTTTTATGAAGAATGAATGTTAGTCGCCACTGAGTTAAATGATTATCAGAACACCACGCACGGTATCTGATGCTAGTCCCAGCTATCTTTCATCTCACAGCTTTAAGTAACTAAATTATACCTATACTTTTTGTACACAGTCCCACAAGTATACATTCATGCAGCCCACTAACCAAATGAAAGTTAATCCATTCGTCTACAAATCACTTTTTGAGTCCTAGTAATAATACTTAGCTCCTAAGTCCAAAATAAGTGTAGTAGGGTTAGGACTTCTGGTTCATTCGTTGAAATTTAAGTGCATCAACTTCAAGTCTATCGCTCCATAAATAACCGAAGACAGAAGACGCCAATAAATATTCAGTTATTTGGTAAACAATCTAGCTTTTACATATAATCTATGTGCTTCAAAGACTTAAGTGTTTCATGTTAATTATTAAATTAACTTGTTCTCACACTTATCTCTATTTAATGTAAATATATGCCGACTGTACCTTTGAATCATTTAAATTGAAATCTCAAAGAAAACAAGTTTCTTTGAGTTTAAATATATCCCTAGCTGATAATAACTAATGAACATAAAACCCAAATTTAATATCTTTATGCTTATAACGATCTAAGATCAACTGTCAAAGTACTACATTCTCCGCAAATTACTCATATTAATTACAATCATGTGCTCACCAGTGACTAGCTTTGAGATGTGACTTCTAGGTTTCGAGTGAGAAGCCGTGGCCAGTGGAGTTCAATCTATGTAGGTTGTGAGACAGTTATCCACCGTAGGTAATGGATGAAGAGTTGCTCAAAATTATGGATTGATTGAAGTTAGACATTAACACCTCTAGGTCTCGGCCTAGCGGTTTAGGGGTTAGGTGTTAGCGTACGAGACTGAAAGCCGTGGGTTCGATTCCCGCTTTCGGGATTGTGGATGGAGACTAGTAAGGAGTCCCATACTAGAACATCCAGTGTTGTTAGGCCTTCAATGGCGGTCTAGCTAAGATTAGTTCGTGATTTTAACTGTAAGGGGATACTTTTACTTGTTATTTCTCATGGTCCCAATTCAGCAGAATATTTGCAGTGTTTTTGTCTGTCTCTTGGTAGGTAACTGAATACATAGCCAGTGGTGGGCGTGTTCTATTGATTTTAAATACGACAGAGGTGAATAATTTCCCCTCATCGAGTCTTGCTCATTATGCTTTACTTTCAAACGAATCTTCTAATCTGTTTGAAAACAATTATTCATACTGGAAATGGATGTATAAAGATTCGATTTTAACTGGTGGATATCATCGCCTGGAAAGTGATAATGATAAGGAGGTTGAAGTTCAAAAGGATCAACCATTAATTGCTATTCTCAGTGTAAGTTAATTAAAATCTGATTTTACAATTTCTTTTAGTCGTTTTTGGGTTTCTGAACTTCTTAAAAATATCTGATCGAATTAAGGTACTGTGGTAAAATTCTGATATAACAAACAAGTTTACACGTTATCAAAAGGTCACATGACAGATGAGAAATATTGGTATGGATAGGATATTGTAAGGTAATTATTTGTTTCCCCAAAATCATCCCACATGTCTTTGCTTTGATCATTTTGTAACTTACATGTACTCATAATTTGTAAACCATTATTGTAACTTTTCTGCTCAACCTTGATCTCACCTTGCATAACAATTTAGTCAAGTGTTATGAGCGTAAATCAGAGACTAACAAGATAGAATTTGATTTTTGAAGGCTAACACTCAAAGCTTAAAATGAACTTACATTTTTATGATATATCTTTTTTCCTAAGATTGATTGTTTGAAAATCGAAGCAACACGTTTGGAAAATGCGTTCAACCTTCTTGGGATACCGTGTGTACCTTGTGTTGATCTGGAAAACAATACACATGATAAACTACTGTCTAATTCCCTATCCTCAGTTCATTTATCCGATTCAAAGACTTTGTATTGTTTTACACCGGACTCTGAGAAAAAGGTTGGATTTAAATTATTTTGTTAAATTGCTTTTTGTTTATTCTACAGTGAATTGCATTCTTTTTTCTCTGTATAATTTAGTATACATACTATATGAATGCATGCGTAGTTGTGTGTTTTTGGTAGGAGCTAGATTATAACGTTGGTAGATATATCTTCATCCTATCGCTTTTTATAATTCTGAGGAAAACTCAAACATATCTCGTTATCACTCGATGCACAACTCATCATATTACTCATTTATTATAACTATTTTGTTCATTTAAAGTGGATAGATTATGGCTAACAGTGAAAACCTGAACGCGCGTTTGTTCTACTCGGAACTCACCAGTTGGATGTACACCTGCAGTTCAGTGATGCTCATAATGAAACAAATTTTTGTCCACTATAAACAATCTCTTTTAACATATACATTATATCGTTATTGAATAACTACATTCATTTGATATTACGGAGCTAATTAGTTTGGTTTTTCCCCATTATACTCTCAATGTTGTCTTGGTTGCAATGGTTTGTTTACCTTCCGATTTCAGAAGATCGTTAATTTTCTCATTACGGAATTTTCAACGAAATGCAAAAAAGAGATTTCCTATTGTTCTACTCTATCTGATCTTCCATTGGGTTTCAACTGGATAGATTATTTTTCAAATCTTCATACTGAACATTTAGGTAAATTGATTGTTTGGTCTAACTCAATGGAATCTAGTTGGGATTTCTGTCAACAGTAAGTCTATTGTTCCTGGTTTCACTGGTTGCTTAAGTTCAATACGTAATGTAAACTATGAAACCCAACGATATTTACAAATACATCATAGTAATCATAATTATAGGCTCACTGGTGGTTAGTTTTGAGAGGTGATTATCGGAATTCTTGCGAAAAAGCCGTTCAGTGTTTCCTGGTTTTCAATTATTTACTAATTAAGATCAGTCTGTTATGTAAAATGTGAAATTTCTTATTGTTCATTCATTGTCGATAGTAAGTTTTATTATTTTTTTTTATAGATAACTGCTTTTATCGTTTCTTTTATGTTATATACCGTAAAACTCCGTAAAATATATGGATTTACAAAGTGTACGCGTGCTTCACCTAAATAATAGTAAATTTTTATTGAGGGTTCTTTAAATGATGTCAAACACAGTTTAGTGGCTTTTTGTAGGAGTTTAAATATGATGTTAAATGCAAAAAAATTAGATGATCGGTTAAACTAAGTGTTTCATTTTGGTAATAATGTTTGAATTCTCATGGAAGAAACTTAAATACCTAAGTCTCATGAGTGATAAGACATTTCGAAGTCCAGCTAATGAATGTTTATGTTGTGATTTGGTGACCGATAAAATAAGCTGCTAACAGAATCTCCTAGAAGGTCCCTAAAAACATTGATGATAATTCTTTGAAAAATAGATATATTTTATGGAATAAAGACAACAGTAAGATTTACTTTGTCTGGTATCCTGACATGAATCAAATGGGAACATCGTAGATAAAGTAATGAATTTTAGAGTAAAATACATGGTTTTCAGTCACCGAGTTACAGATTCAAACCACATTGTCCTACTACATGCACCAGTAAAAAGTCTTTGATCCATTTGTGATCATTGTTTCTATTCTTGGTTAGTTATAGATTGTCTGGTGAGTAACTAAGCTTTACCGTCTTCGTCAAATATTCTTAACAAAAAATTGGCATATATAATCCTGTCGTATTGTCGAATTAACCAATGCTGCCTTCTGGAGTTCATTCGCTTGACCTTCGGCTGTCAGTTCCATGAATAAGTTATCAGTTCAATTACTTCTATCATTTCTGTATTTTATCAGATTCGTTCTATCTTTTTCAGTTTTTAAATCTGATTAGTGTTATTAGTTCCCACTGAAGCGTATGTTCTAAGCAGCGTACATAAATCCATACCTGATCACTGAAAAGCACCCCAAATTCCTGTAATCTTTTCATATGTATTGATTGTTTGAATCCTCTCATTGATGTTTAGTACTATAATCGATCAGTCATTTTTGGCATATATGCAACATGTGCGGATTGCCTCGATATTGCTATTAAGTCTCAAGCATTCTAAGCAGAGGTGGATTGTGGCTAGTAGTGGAATCCAAGACTCACATTTTGTTCTACTACAGAATCACCTGCTAGATGTATCTAGTAGTCATTGTTATATCTTGGAGCGTTAGGCTGCCTGGAGAGAATCCTTACAAATGAGTACTTCCTCAGGTTAAACAATCCTCCCATACTATTTCATTTATAAATGAAGATTGTGTTATATTGATGTGCAGTATGGGGGGAGCAAATAATCTCACAGAATGTCCTCAACATGCATCGATAAGTGTTAAACGAATCAAAATCGGTTTAACTCTTATCACTAACAAGTAGTTTTGAAACATTTGCAGTGCATTACATCAAGCTTGGAGGGAAGCGCAAATGCAGCATGATGCAGACGGTCAATGGGAGTGCCATCTCTTCTCAATACGGGGTCAGAAGGAGTAAATCGAACAAATTTCATACCCTCAAAAATTCTATTCTTATAGGCTGGACGACACTGTACTACGTTTAGGTTATGAAAAGTACTTAATACTCCATTTTCTACACTTTTCTACACTATCCTACAATAAATCATATGATAGATTCAAAAATATAGAAAATTATCTCTCATATAAGCAAAGATGGATAGTGGCTAGCAGTGAAATCTAGGACGCGCGTTTCCTTCTATTTGGGACTCGTCAACTGGATGTGCTTGCATCTCCGAGTTGATGTTCATTCTGGGACTCGAACCCAATACCATTCGCTTCAAACGCCATCGCGTCATAACAGACTACTCAATTTCAGTTGTAAACATCAATGGGAAGATACAAGCAAAACAATACCAAGTGAATTTATCTCTCATATATTCACTTTTTTTGTAATGTAATAAATGGTACAACTAAGCGATTATAGCTTAGTTTGTGTGCTCAGTGTCGAGTCACACTTTTTTTGCAGAAACCAGTGGTATTACTTGATTGTTTAAAGTGAAGTAGGCAGATGATTTGAACCTACCATCAAACTTTCGGAACTTAAAGTATTTTAGTCACCAAGTCATCTCTAGCAGTACGGTTTCACTTCATGCTTATCTAAATACTCTAATAAGACATTTTCATCACCATAGTTAAGTATTCTCATTCTGTCGTTACTTATTTTTTGCTGTTCCATTAAATTGTCTCTATTTACTAAGATTGTGTGTTTGAAAGTATTTCTCTACATATATTTTGTATTCTAGATTCTTTGAACGAATCCATCCAAATTCTGGTCTGTTGGTATGTTCTAATATTCAATCTAAAGGGAAAGGTAAACAATGTATCATCATGTTGTTATTTATAATTTATTTGATATTTTACGGAAATCAAATAATTAAAACTTGATACTGTAAGTACATACAATACTATCTCAGTGTGAGGTTGTGAGGATTGCTGATTGATACTGAGATCATGAACCGATAATCAGTGGCTAGGGTTTGTGAATGCTAACTCCTGAGTAGTTTAACATTGCGACGAGACAACTCCTCAGTGGTTCCAGTTTTAGATGATTGTCTAACGGTTGGTTAGTGATTTCGATACCATCCCAGTCAGTCATAGTTAAAGTAAAATTTTGCGTGTATATGCATCGGTTCCACTTTTTCCACAACGTGTCATTCCAGTATAATTAAATTATCAAAGCAGATGCTAGAGTAGTATATATAGTAACAGTATCAGTGATAGTAGTAGAAAAGATTAAGCATAGACAATATGACTCGAGAAGAGGGGATAAATTCGCATAGTAAGAAGCATAAGATAACTTTGAAACTCAAGATCTGAGGTAAAACATAGAATGAGTGCAGACTACTCTGCCTTTGTCGGTTCCGAGCCATATTATCCTAAGTTTTCAACCATTTAGTCAGAAGAATCACGCGGACCCTTCATTAGTCAAAAGTATGTATAAGTTATCCAGTGACTAACTTACAGGCTGTATATTAATTAAATAGACCAAGAAAATACCCGTTTTTGGCAAAAAGTCAATAAGTCAATAAAAATTGCCATAAGAATCAAAGATATTAAAATATTTAAAAAGGAGTTGACTGAATTAAAGTAAATGTGACAGAAAAGCTTCTGTATCAATGTTGACATATTTATATTTTATCATAAAAAAATCTAGTTATGTAAAAAACTATTTGTCAGTATCAGGGTTGTGGAGATTGTTAAATTTTATTGAAATCAGGAACCAACCTATGCTCAACAACAACTGGGACCAATAGACAACTATTTCTTCCCAGTATGAGACTCTTCATTAGTGCTCACTCACGATCCCCCACCATAGATCGAACCCAGGACGATTGATCTCGCGCGAGAAATTCGGTAGTTTCTCTAATAGTATCAGCCTATAGAATGCCTCATTCTTGAATTTATCACTACAAGAACATCATTCTAACTTCTATTAAGTGTTGTGCACATGTTCAAAAGTACATTTTATTAAGGTAGCGTGACTATCATGAACACATCAGTTTGTCTGATTAATATGAAACTCAGACGTATGTTAGGCTTTCATGATAATACATTCACAAAAATTCTATAATCTTCACAAATCCTATACTGGTAATACTTATGTGCTCACTAGTGACTAACTTCAATATAATACTCCTGAAGTTCCAGTGAGAAGCCTTTACCAGTGTAGTTCAAATACTTCGAATGTGCAACTGTTATCCACTGCAGATGATGGGTGAGGGTTGCTTAATATCATGAATTCATCGAAGTTATATAGTGGACATCTTGGATGCAGTTAAACCTTTTAGGCTTCCCAAATGACCTAGCTCTTCTATCCCGTACATAGCAATAAATACAGGTGAAGACAGCTAGTGTAGTAACAGCCTCTGCAGCAGTAGGCTTCAACATACACAAGGGAAAAAACAAGGTCCTGAAATACAACACAATGAGCACCAACCCAATCACACTTAATGGAGAGGCTCTGAAAGAGATGGAATAGTTTACGTACCTGAGTAACATCATCAATAAACATGGAGGATCTGATGCAGATGAGAAAGCACGGATCGCCAAAGCAAGGTAGGATTCCTACAATTGAAGGACACATGGAACTCAAAAGAACTGTCACCCAACATCGAGTTCAGAATCTTTAGTACGAATGTCAAGACAGTTCTACCGTACGGAGCTGAAACTTGGAGAACTACCACCAGGTATTTATAAATAGTTGTCTACGCAAGATAATTAATGTCCGTTGATCAGACACTATCAGTAACAATCTACTGTGGGGGAGAACAAACCAGTTTCCAGCTGGAATGTACTCTAGAAGTGGATAGGACATGCATTGCGGAAATCATCGAACCGTATCACAAAGCAAGCCCTAACTTGGAATCCTGGAGGCAAAAGGAAAAGAGGAAGATCACGGAACTTACGGAGCCGGGAATCGAAGGCAGATTTCAAAAGAATAAATAGTACTTGGTTGGTTTGTTTGCGAATCTTGGTGGGAAGCCTGTGCCGCTCCACGAGGTATAATAGTTGTAAGTTAGTAATACTTGTACATCACTGGATGCCATTTGCGTTTGCGCTCAAGACCTAAGGTCCTGTGTCAGATTCGTAAATGCTTACTGATGAGGATTCCCCTATACTTAAATAAAATAGTCGTACAGTGGTTCTAATTTTTGAATGGTGGTCTAATTAAGATCAATTCATGACTTAAACTGGGGATATTCTTCAATCTCCACAATCCTCTCTATACTGGTAAAAATTGTTAAGGTTTTAAAAGTTCATTTCGATCAATGAATTTTGGCATGTATACTCGGTTTATAAAAACTGATATAATCAAGCTTATTCTGACCCTGTAGCTGTTTATTTATCCATACTATAGTACTAATATAAATCTACTAATGTTCCTACTTCTCTCAGTTACCTATGTAATATCTTAAATCCATTGTTTATTTCATTACTAGAAGGGGTTTAAATGATCATATTATTAATATTGCTAACTAAATTTTGATTAGTTTTTGTTGGCGTATGTGCGTCTTAAAAGGATTGTCACTATACAGTCATTTTTTTACAGTGTTATATAAAAGTAGATGGATTGTACTTAGCAGTGGGATCCAGGAAGCGATTTTCGTCCTATTTATTACTGGTTTCGAATCTCTTTGTTAGAAACAACACTTGAGTATAGATTTATTCAGTTGACAAGTCTGAAAAAGGACTAAACATCCATCCTGAATTCCATTGCTAGCTGAACGCTTTAACCATTGAATCACTGTTTCAGAGAGCACTGGGCAACATTTTCATCCTAGTATTGAACTCAAGAATTTACACTCTCGACCCCTCTGGGGATCTAATTCAGGTCTTGTGTTTGACAATTAATCGTTAGAACCTCTTAGACAGTATTGGGTTGAGACTTACTGATCTAAAAGAATCGTATTCGCTGTAGGATCTAAAAGTTCTAAGTCTTGTCTTAGATTGAGTCATAAGTACTCACCATTATGAAGTCACAAATCCGGATAATAATGCTGTCTTGCGCTGCCTGGTTTTCAATGACTTTCTTATATCAGTTTGTTTTAAAGATAATCTTTAAACTGTAACTATCTTATGATGAATACTATTCTGTATGTTTTCCCATATTATTAGGTCGAGGAGAGAATAAGTGGATTAGTCCTGTTGGACAAGCTGCATTTACATTCCATTTAACATTATCCACTTCCAATAGTCAAATGTTTATGAATTGTGTGACTTGTGTACAACATATTGTAGCGTTGAGTGTAGTTTTGGCTTGTAGACAATTAATTGCTGAACATTTAGAGATCATTTCAGGTGATACTAATTTTTGTGATATCAATGAAGAATTTCTTGTTGTAAGTTCTTTTCTATGGTTTGAAAGTTTTTCATCAGTTATTTATTTATTTATCTATCAGAAGGGGAGTTGTGCAAGTTGTTGATGCTTTTAATACACTGGTTTAAATAAAATAAAAAGTTAGTCAATGATCAAATATTTGCTGATTGTCACCCATTGGGCTACTGGTTCAAAACCCTCATTTCTTGTTTTAAGTTTCATTTTTAATTCTCAAAGTCCACAAACCTTTATTTGCTTACTAAATTACATTTCCAGATTTCTTATAAGAACAAACTAATCATTATCTACGGTATTATATTTCAACCAATTTTATTCTCCTTGAAGTTCATCGGGCACAGACCACAGTCTTGACTGATTTACATGACTCTGATGACTTCTACTAATTTACTTTCACTCATGTTTGTTGATATAACAAAAGAGATTTGTCCAAGCACTTGACAGTGAACAATACGTTTATTATTTATTTATTTTATTTAAACACATAAATATTGGTACAAGAGAGCGCCAATATATATGCAATATATATGCGCCACACAAAACAATGAGAATTCGAAGAGAAAGAAAAAAAAGGTAAGGAGCGTGAAAAAAAAGAACAATAACGAAGAGGTTGGTGTAAGGTAGTGTAGTAATAATAATAGTAATAATGAGGGAACGGAAAGTTACAATCGGTAGAAATCTTTCAGGTAAGGGAGACACAACCACTTTTTATGAAGAAAGTAAAAGAAGGTTACAGCAGGATCGCCATTGGCTTCTATTCTGAGCCATATCTGATAACGTCTCTAGCCACTGTGTAGCACCATCTCTCGGACCCCAACCAGGGAGTCGTGAAGGACCGACAGAAGCCAGTCCTTTGCAGGTTTCTTTCATGCCACGACACCATGTCATGCACTGACCACCTCTCCGCTTCTTCCAACCAGTCCCAGAGTCGGCAAATAATGCACGACGTGGAATTCTCTGGGACGACATTCGGAGAACATGTCCAAGCCACCGAAGTCGGTGTTTCAAGATGGTGACATCGATTGCATTATCATCTCTGTGCCCGAACACACGATGCCGAGCCTCTGCATTACGGACATGGTGTTGCCACTGGATGTCAGCAATCCTTCGGAGACAGCGATGATCGAACACAGAGTCTTCTAACATCCTCAATTCGGAGAGGCCAGGTTTCACAAGCATAGAGCAAAACTGCTCTCACCGACGCGTTGTAGATCCGACCTTTTACAGCCAGACTAACATCACGAAGGCGCCAAAGATGGCCCAGATTGGCATAAGCCGCTCTGGCTTTCACTATACGTGCATTGATCTCATCACTCACACCCCCACCAGCACTTATGCAGCTACCCAGATACACGAACTTCTCAACTACGTCTATCTGCTCACCATCCAGGGTGAGTACAGGATTGGAATCCTGCCAGTCTTGTAGGAGTACTTTGCACTTCGAAGGTGCAAAGCACATACCATACCTACGGACACTGATTGCCAACTGATTAAGTGCGGATTGCATGCCTTGGGCATTACCGCACAGTAAGACAATATCGTCCGCATACTCAAGGTCGAGAAGTCTTTCTCCAGGCAACAGATCCACACCACCATTACTTACATTCATCAGAGCTGTTTCCAGAATGTAATCGATGGCAAAGTTGAAGAGGAATGGTGAGATTGGGCAACCCTGCCTAACCCCACTGCTCGAATGGAACAATGGAGAGAGGTGGTTGTATGCCCTCACTCTGCCTGAGGTGTTTTTATATAGGGCTTTTAGGATGTTAATAAACTTCTCAGGCACACCCTTCTTCAATAGACAATCCCAGAGAACAGTCCTGTCCAACGAATCGAAGGCAGCCCTGATGTCAAGAAACACTACGATTGTTGGCCTTTGATAAGTATGGCGATGTTCTAACATTTGGCGGAGGGTGAAGATATGATCAATACATCCTCGACCAGAACGAAACCCAGCCTGCTCCTCGCGAGTCAATCTTTCTCGGGTTTTGAACAACCTACGAAGTATGACGGAAGCCAATAGCTTGGACGCAATCGGAAGTAGACTTATCCCCCGATAGTTGTTACAGGAACGACGTGAACCCTTTTTAAAGATAGGGACAACTATCGACTCATTCCATGACGTTGGTACACTCTCTAGTTCCCAAACCTTTGTAAACAACGTCGTCAGTTACTTAGTCAAAAAGTCACCACCATCTTTAAAAAGAGCCGGAGGTAAGTCATCTGGGCCAGGTGATTTGTAGCGCTTCAAGAGTTGGAGTTCCTTGCGGACTTCCTCCTCGTTTGGTGGATCAGTCGTCACCGGCCATGGAGGGCAGGACAGTCTGACCGATGTTGCCGGAGCAACAGGCCAGTTGAACTGCCCTTCGAAAAATTCTGCCCACCGTCCAAGACGTCGATGAATGTTAGTGATTGGCATCCCATCATCCTCGCAGATTGTTTCACTCACACCAGACTTCTTGCTGCCAGTGGCTCGGATGAGTTGGAAGAGCTTCCGGTAGTTACCAGATGCAGCTGCTGCTTCCAGCTCATTAGCACGCTCTGACCACCAGGCTTCTCGGTCCTTACGCAAGCTTTGCCCAATTTCCTTACGTAACATCCTTCGTTTATGTTCAAACTCACGGTCACCCGGAGTAGACCGACGGGCTTCAATGAGTTGTAAGGAACCTGAAGAAACCCAGTGCTTATAAGCGGGACGTTTCGCGAACCCACAACTGACTGTACCCGCCATTTTCATGGCGTCATGCAATTGCAACCAATGCTCATCTATATTTTTCGGTGGAATGGTAGCTAGCCTAGAAACTAGCTCGGTTCGATACTTACTAGCAACAGAAGTTGCAACCAGCTTGCTGACATCAATCCGTTGGTGGCGGTCACTTCGTTGTCCACTGAAAAGTAAGGTAAGATTGGCGCAGACCAAGGCATGGTCAGAGTCCAGATAGGTACTCCAAAATGAGCGGCAGTCTTGTACACAACCACGCCAGCGGTAGCTGATCGCGATGTGATCAATCTGAGTCCAGGCTTGAGATTCAGAGGGAGGACGCCAGGTGGCACATCGGCAATGACTGTGCCGAAAGTTAGTGCTAGCCAGAAACAGGTTGTGGTCTGTGCACAGTTGCAGTAGACGGTCCCCTTTATCTGACCTGCGACCAATGAGTCCCCATCGGCCACCTAAACGCCTCTTTTCTGTGCCCAGACGCCCGACCTGAGCATCTAAGTCTCCGGCTAGTACTACAATATCTGTCGAACGCACTTTCTGGAGAAGAACAGATAACTGGTGGTAAAACTCATCCTTGATTGCATCCGAGCTGCAATCTGTCGGAGCATAGGCGATGACGAAAAGACATCGTTTCTCACTTTGATGGAACTTTCTAATCTAATCTAATCTAACAGCACATAACCGACTGTTAATGGGGATCCAATCGATTAGTGCTGCCTCAGCTCTAGCGCTTAGTGCGACACCAACGCCAACAAGACCAGATGAAGATGCCACAGGGTCCCCGGATAAGTGCATGTAAAACAAGCTTTTCGAAGCGACAGATGAGCGAATTTGCAGTACTTCACCAGAGTCTTGAATACGGGTCTCGGATAGACAGCAGACATCGATATTAAGACTTTCCAAAGACTTAGCCAGCCCCAACCTGCATAAGTGTGCGAACGTTGAAGGCAGCCAGTTTGAATGTTGCACGTGGTTTCAGAAAAACTGCTTCAGTACTCATATTCAGTGGTAACATACAATTTTCAACCGGACAGTGACTCCAGAACGTTTAGATGCAGTCGAATTTCCACCAAAGACGAACCGCTGTATAAGTATAAAAGAGGGTGAATAATGTGGCAAATAATAATAATAATCATTTGAGTCATTTGATTGTTAGTTGAAGCAAGTAAAGTAGTTTCCATAATTATAGGCAGTTCATCATATTTGCGTGTGGGCTGCGATACTGCCCAGGTGCCCAAACCGAAGCAGGTGGTTATCTTAGGGGGCCACTCCCCGAGCCTTTGACCTAAAGGTCCAAACTACAAGGCAGTGGAGTATCGTAAGGAGATGCAGTCCCATGGTAGCCGGTGACCGACGATTTGTTCATACGCCATTTGTTCCTGCAGGATACTGGAGCCCATGTGCACCATTGGTTTGTGATCCGGTTAAAGTGCCGGACATTCGCTTTTCGTCCTCTCATTTTCGTAAACAACACCCCCGCCACGAGAAGGCAATGAGTAGGACTTCCCTGGCAGAGGCTGTATACGCGTGGCCGTGTGAGAGTATTTCGAGAGGGAGAGCGGACTCACCCCACTCTCGGCCGTACCAGGGCATTTGGGGACGAACAATACGTTTGAATTCTATGAAATATGACTTGATACTGTATCACTCGATAATGAGTTAGATAATTAGCTTGAATACTAGACTGGAGGCCACTAGATTGTGTAAACTCAGTTACTTAAAGTCTGGCCTAAAAATGAGAACCAGATTAGATGAGGTAATAGTTTTTTGACGCAAATTATAAGCAGTTAACATAGAGTAGAATCAGAGTTACTTATAAAATATTCTCTTTAATTTATTTTTGTATCTATCTTTGCTCACTGACCAATAATATATTACTTTATTCGACTTAACATTTAGTGGTGTATACTTTGGTTGCACTGAAATATTAAATTGTTTCATCACAAATCAGCATCAGCGAAACAGCAACCATTGAAATCTAGAGAGCACTGCACAACTTTTTCATTGCAGTTTGAGATCCACGACCTCACCCGGGATAAAATAAAAGGACTTTAGGTCTTGCAACACAGGATACAGTTCAGCAGCCGAGTAGCTTTGATCATGCGCTGTTTTCATTCAATATCAATAATGCATCAGTCTTAATTTAGTTGGTTCCACTATCTACTGCTTCCAACCTGAAAATTCGGTCATTTCTCTTTATACTGATGACAAATCTTTTTAATAGCTAGCTTTCATTGTATTGAATTTGATACACTTCTTTTCGACAGGATCTTCAATATCATGGACCTAAAATCCTTATTAAATGGCCAAACGATATTTATGTTGTCGAAAATATTAATTGGTGTAATAATCAAGATGTCAGTTCGACGCTTTTGCAACAAAATATTATTGGAAAATTGGCTGGTGTATTAGTTCGTTGTCGTTTAGTTGATTCAAATCACGTGGAATTATTGATTGGTAGAGTGTATTTTGTTTTATTCTTTATTCAAGCTTGTAAAGGATTTAGATGCTTTCAATAGTTACCAAAAAATGATATGGTAATACACACTATGACTGTATCCTCAGGTTTAAATGAACTAAAGAATTATTTGGTGATTAGACCACTTTACGTGTCAATAGGTATGCTTCATTTACTCACTAAAATTCCGTTATAATGCGCTCACTCTGTCATTAAAGCTTTTTGGCTGCATTCGTAAAGTTGCAGCTTTGATCCCCCCTTCTACCTACTACGGTTCAGGCAACCAAATATTGCACTTTCCCACAGAGTGCTCTCTTAAGGTCATACGTTTATAGCGACTGCTATGGAAGTCTTGCTTGCTGTCTTCATGAGATGGGGGTGTTTATTTACCAAAGTAAGAGGACGTAAAGTAGTCGATCAGCGCTTAGACCTTGATTGATGGACTCGAAAGGTTTAGTTAAGTGAGTTGGAAAACCCTGATTCCAAACCAGTAGTGTGCATAGGCTTCAGGGCGTTGCCCACTTAGGAAATCACCTGTTTTAGTCTGGGCGCCTGAACAGAGTACCTCAGCCTGCTCACAAAAATGAAGAGAAAAATACTCAAGAATGAATGATTGCTGATAGGACAGATATTATGGTTAATTTGTTGTAGACTAGAAAAATTCACATCACGGTTATTTTCTTTAAAAGCTTTTTTTCTTGAAACAATTAAATTCTAGGCTGTGGCATTAATGCATTCAATGAACTACCTACGATATGTTTAGAACATGTATTGATCAAATCTCATCCGTGTAATAAGAGACCAACATTTTCAATTGGCAAGTTAATTTCACTTGTAGTAAGTTACATTGAAAGAATAATCACGAGGATCTATAATCCGAATTCAAATTATGATCTTGGATGGGTGCTTCACTTATACACGAAATGCTGGATTCATACGTAAGTTATTTGTCAAATAAGGTTTATTTGAAATGTACACAATTATTCCGGGAAGGAATCCTTTTCAGCGTATTCATTTTCAGTTGTATATATATTATGTCTGCTTGAATTTCATTAATTGTTATGTGAAATTTGAATACATCATTTTAAATACATAAGTATATCCTGGAAATCTAGTGAGAAGTAGTGACCAGTGGAGTTCAACCAGGTCTGTTGTGAGATAGTAACTCACTAAAGGCAATGGTGGATGTGTCGCTCAATTTCGTGGATTAGTCGAAGTTCAACATTAACACCACTGGATGCCGGCTCAGCTGTCTAGTGGTTAAGTCCTCGCGCGCGAAACCAGTAGGTCCTGGGTCCGAATCTTTCAGGAGGCGAGGTCGCGGATGCGCACCACTGAGGAGTCTCACAATAGGACGAAACGGCCGTCCAGTGCTTCCAGGTTTTCCATGGAGTTCATCGTTTGTGTGTGAGCTGTGATACTGCCCGGGTGCCCAAACCGAAGCAGGTGGTTATCTTAGGGGGCCACTCCCCGAGCCTTTGACCTAAAGGTCCAAACTACAAGGCAGTGGAGTATCGTAAGGAGATGCAGTCCCATGGTAGCCGGTGACCGACGATTTGTTCATACGCCATTTGTTCCTGCAGGATACTGGAGCCCATGTGCACCATTGGTTTGTGATCCGGTTAAAGTGCCGGACATTCGCTTTTCGTCCTCTCATTTTCGTAAACAACACCCCCGCCACGAGAAGGCAATGAGTAGGACTTCCCTGGCAGAGGCTGTATACGCGTGGCCGTGTGAGAGTATTTCGAGAGGGAGAGCGGACTCACCCCACTCTCGGCCGTACCAGGGCATTCGGGGGCTAAGCCGGCGACACCCGGTATTCCCAGCCGGTCACCCATGCAAGTACTGACCGGGCCCAACGTTGCTTAACTGCGGTGATCGGACGAGAACCGGTGCTTTCAACGTGGTATGATCTATGTCTATGGCAACCACTTTTCTCGCTCCGAAAAACAATCAGTCGATTCACATAATTATCGTTACTATTATTGTCATTATTAATACTACTATTATTAGTATTGTTGTCATTATTATTATTATTATTATTATTATTATTATTATTATTATTATTATTATTATTATTATTATTTTCCACATTATTCACCTTCTGGTGGTCGAAGCGTGCTAATGAGCTGGAAGCAGCAGCTGCATCTGGTAACTACCGGAAGCTCTTCCAGCTCATCCGAGCCACTGGCAGCAAGAAGTCTGGTGTGAGTGAAACAATCTGCGAGGATGATGGGATGCCAATCACTAACATTCATCGACGTCTTGGACGGTGGGCAGAATTTTTCGAAGGGCAGTTCAACTGGCCTGTTGCTCCGGCAACATCGGTCAGACTGTCCTGCCCTCCATGGCCGGTGACGACTGATCCACCAAACGAGGAGGAAGTCCGCAAGGAACTCCAACTCTTGAAGCGCTACAAATCACCTGGCCCAGATGACTTACCTCCGGCTCTTTTTAAAGATGGTGGTGACTTTTTGACTAAGTAACTGACGACGTTGTTTACAAAGGTTTGGGAACTAGAGAGTGTACCAACGTCATGGAATGAGTCGATAGTTGTCCCTATCTTTAAAAAGGGTTCACGTCGTTCCTGTAACAACTATCGGGGGATAAGTCTACTTCCGATTGCGTCCAAGCTATTGGCTTCCGTCATACTTCGTAGGTTGTTCAAAACCCGAGAAAGATTGACTCGCGAGGAGCAGGCTGGGTTTCGTTCTGGTCGAGGATGTATTGATCATATCTTCACCCTCCGCCAAATGTTAGAACATCGCCATACTTATCAAAGGCCAACAATCGTAGTGTTTCTTGACATCAGGGCTGCCTTCGATTCGTTGGACAGGACTGTTCTCTGGGATTGTCTATTGAAGAAGGGTGTGCCTGAGAAGTTTATTAACATCCTAAAAGCCCTATATAAAAACACCTCAGGCAGAGTGAGGGCATACAACCACCTCTCTCCATTGTTCCATTCGAGCAGTGGGGTTAGGCAGGGTTGCCCAATCTCACCATTCCTCTTCAACTTTGCCATCGATTACATTCTGGAAACAGCTCTGATGAATGTAAGTAATGGTGGTGTGGATCTGTTGCCTGGAGAAAGACTTCTCGACCTTGAGTATGCGGACGATATTGTCTTACTGTGCGGTAATGCCCAAGGCATGCAATCCGCACTTAATCAGTTGGCAATCAGTGTCCGTAGGTATGGTATGTGCTTTGCACCTTCGAAGTGCAAAGTACTCCTACAAGACTGGCAGGATTCCAATCCTGTACTCACCCTGGATGGTGAGCAGATAGACGTAGTTGAGAAGTTCGTGTATCTGGGTAGCTGCATAAGTGCTGGTGGGGGTGTGAGTGATGAGATCAATGCACGTATAGTGAAAGCCAGAGCGGCTTATGCCAATCTGGGCCATCTTTGGCGCCTTCGTGATGTTAGTCTGGCTGTAAAAGGTCGGATCTACAACGCGTCGGTGAGAGCAGTTTTGCTCTATGCTTGTGAAACCTGGCCTCTCCGAATTGAGGATGTTAGAAGACTCTGTGTTCGATCATCGCTGTCTCCGAAGGATTGCTGACATCCAGTGGCAACACCATGTCCGTAATGCAGAGGCTCGGCATCGTGTGTTCGGGCACAGAGATGATAATGCAATCGATGTCACCATCTTGAAACACCGACTTCGGTGGCTTGGACATGTTCTCCGAATGTCGTCCCAGAGAATTCCACGTCGTGCATTATTTGCCGACTCTGGGACTGGTTGGAAGAAGCGGAGAGGTGGTCAGTGCATGACATGGTGTCGTGGCATGAAAGAAACCTGCAAAGGACTGGCTTCTGTCGGTCCTTCACGACTCCCTGGTTGGGGTCCGAGAGATGGTGCTACACAGTGGCTAGAGACGTTATCAGATATGGCTCAGAATAGAAGCCAATGGCGATCCTGCTGTAACCTTCTTTTACTTTCTTCATAAAAAGTGGTTGTGTCTCCCTTACCTGAAAGATTTCTACCGATTGTAACTTTGGATTCCCTGATTACTAGCACATTACCTTACACCAATCTCTTCGTTATTGTTCCCTCTTTTTTTTCACGCTCCTTAGCTTTTTTTTCTTTCTTTGTATTCCTCATGAATTTTCATTGTTTTGTGTGGCGCATATATATTGGCGCTCTCTTGTACCAATATTCATGTGTCCAAATAAATAAAAATAGATTTTCCATGGTTGTCTAGCTTCATCTGACTCATGATCTTAACCATTAAAAATAAATATTTGTTTAGGAATGGGACACAATTCTGCTAATATATAATGAATCTGTCTCTCAAAGTTCAACATCTAGCATTATTCCGTTCATTTAGTCAGTGAACACTGGTGTGATTGCATTATTTTCACTGGAAATTCAATTTCAAGCTCTAACTTTCTGTTTAGTTGTCTTTTTGATCCTGCAAATTGTGGTGCACTACAAGTATTATGTTCACGGAAGACATATATATGACTTTAGATCACTGAAACGAAGTCCCTAGTAGGAATTACACTTTTCTGTTGCAAACCCGACAGTAAATAAACAGAAATATAGTTGAAAATGCGAGATATCGCAGATATATTGGACATTTGGAAAAGGATTGTTACCCTCACACATCATTGAAGGAAGAAGTTTATGAACCGTGAGAAATATATGGCTGATAGGGTGAAAAGTGAGTATCGTTAAGTTGCAATGATTTGTGAACGATAATCAAGAAATATGCATAGAAATAATCTTTGTAATAATAATTATAATAGTAATAGTAAATTAGAATTGTTTTATAAACATAGGAGTAAGAGATGAGATAGATTATTCAAATAAGCTAAACGAAACTAGAAACTGAGGTTCTGGTGAAGAAAGAGATCTAACTAATTGTTTTTGTACACGTAATCTCGATTTTTACACTATGAATAGCCAAAACGTCTACATTGTAAAGTAGGTTCAAGCACACACCTCTTGGTAACCCTGACTGGATGTTGTAAAGGATTTCAGGTGACTAGTTGAATGTTGAATGACTTGTATTTAGTACGTGTGGTAGAATCAATTATGTAATTTGCTTATGTAACCCTTTGCTTGACCTATACTATTGGATGCTCCCGGATGCGACCAAAAAGTGGCCTTGACAAACATTCTACATGCCTAGGTCCGCAAGAGCGGGTAAATTGGTAAACGCATATCCAGTCGGTCAGTCCTTGCCACTTTCATTTGAGAGGATGACTAGAGTAATTTGTTTGGAGATTTACAATGTTGGGTGTTTTTCTAATCAACCTCTCCAGATGACATTCTGGTATGTCACTTCTACAATGAACCGTATAGTTAACGTTGAAGTAAACTTATACACCATATGAATCAATAATTAACTACACATAAAGTTCTGATGTCTGGCCTCATTGCTACATGTGGATCTGTTTACAGATTTTCTGACAACCACTTTCCCCCTTTTAGTCTTTACTAACTCCAGTTTAAAAATAAGCATTTTCGAGTCGAATGAAGTTGTTTAAATTACAAAATTAACTTCGTTACTTAGGCTTAGTTTCGTGATTTGAATTCTATCTTATAATTATTTTCTCTGTGTTGATAACTTGTTGAACTAAACTGTGTTGTTTAACGGATTGCTAGTGCCTCGTTGTTTACTCGTACTAATCATTAACCTGACTCATTAAACCACTGCAACAGTAACATGGAAAGCCTAAATGACACTGTTATGCATCTGATATGTTTGCTTATAATCATCAATTTTCATAGTTTCTATCACGTACTGATCTTAGTTAGACAGCCATTGAAAAGCAGGAAGCCTTGAACAGCTATTTTATCCTAGTATGGGACTTCTCGGAAGTCCAGCTCCACAACACCACAGGGGGTCGAACCCAGGACGTTTAGTCTCACACACGAACAACTGACCTTTAGACAATTATCGTGAACTGCAATCATGTACATGCCCAGATTCAACCGATTCACTACATTCCTTTACCATCTTTCATTGCCATCGGTGAGTAACTGCTTCACTCGATATGACTAAACTCCATTGGTCACGGCTTTTCACTAGAAATTCAGGAGTTTCATCTTTAAGCTAGTTACCAATGAGCACTTGATTATTATCAGTATCCAACCGTTTAAAAATTCATATGATTATTAATATAGGCGTATGGACAAATAATATTCTTTTTACCAAATTCACTAAAAACTCATCACTCAGGATAACAAAACATCACTACTAGATTAGGTTTTGGGGTGAGAACAAACGAGTTTTGAATAAATAGAGTGGATTTAGATTTTCGTATGGTCAAGGCTTCAAGAAACCTTGATATGCGTACTTGAACACTTGTACAAAATCAAAAATCTAAGTTAAGTTCAATCTTATGACGTGTTTTAAGTATGTTTATCATCTACTCTTATTGGGTCATCCGGTTATGTTTTTATAACCATTTTGGTACATTATAAACAGAGAAGAATCTTGACTAGCAGTGGTATCCAGGACGTGTGTTTCGTTCTTTTTAGGACTCGTCGGCTGAATATATTTGCACGCGAGATTTGATGTTCACTTCGGGACTTAAACCCAGTACCGTTCGCATCAAATACCATTGCGTTATCTTCTTAGGTCCAGAGTCCATAAAGCCGCTAGCTTGTGCAGTGGGTGGAACTTTAATTCATTTTTGTATTGGTTGTTTGAATCTTCTCATTGATCAGTCTCTTTTAGCATACATGCATTCTACGTAGATTGGTACATTTTCAAACACCCTAATTTGCAAATCATGATGGTTTATCCCTATGCATGTATAACTACACACATGTAAATTGATAAACAACGTCAGATGTAACATTATGATTCGTGAAGAAAGACTGAGTTAATGGTAAGAAAAATAGTATACGATAAATTTGAAACTGCGTTATTTCAACCTATCTTGATCTATGTCACTCCACATCTCCAACCAGTGGTTACACTTAGTCACACTAATCTATATACTAATTGCACTGAACATTCTATTTCTGTAAAATTAAAAAAAATACGTACAGAGAAATTATTAGTATTCTTTTTTATATTATGGTATTAACGTATGAAATTTTCACGTCTGTATTTTGTTATCTAGTAATCAAAAAGTTCAACTTTACGTCAATCCAACGTTGAGTGAAAATAACCCTGGCGTAATTGATCAACAGCATTCAACTGATACGAATACCTACCGCATAGTTGGATTAGTAATTATGGTTATCATTAGTAGAAGATATATGTACTGGGATTCGAACATAAGTTACATCCAGATGGCAATTCAATGGATATGATGCGTGGTCTAATTATTACTAAATAAAACTAGTATGATTTTCAACCATTTGTATTTTGTGATGACATTACAAACACTTCAGTCTTTCTAGTAGATTGGTTGAAGTTAGACGTGTACACCAATAAATCTCGGATCATTGGTCTAGAGATTAGGAATTCTCATGTAGGACCGAAGGTTACGTATGTGCACTGTGAGGAGTCACATATTAGAATGAATCGGCCATCCAGTACTTTCAAGTTTTCAGTGGCTGTCTAAATTTAAACATGCAATTCGATTCTTAGTCCCTAGTAATTAAAAAGATATTTGTTTTACTTCCTTTCAAATTTTCAGATCAGGTGGATGGTACTTTGAAAGAAAATGTAAGCGATCCATTTTAAACATATGAATTCAGTTGATTTCTGATGGTTTATTTAGAATATGAAGTCAGATGTATTTCTTCGAATTCACTGTCATTCAACTCATACTTTTGTCGATATGATAGGATATAAAAAGTTATCCAAAGCACATCTGAGTCTATTATTCCTTCAGTTGTTTACTTACTGGTTACCATCTTACATGAATTTGTCTACTTATCAGGTCACTTGTTATATTCAAAATATTTGACTGTGTTAAAACCCTGATTGTAATCAAGCAATAAACGTTATTTTGTGTAACTTATTTGTCAAATACGAATTTATGTATTAAACCATAAGCAACATTAATTGTAAATTTAGGTGATACTCGATGGTTTCATAAACTGAAGGAATTGAATGTACTGAAAGAATGTAAATATACCATAAATTATATTTGTCTATTATGTTTCATTGATTTCTAGCCGCGGACTTGTAATTAAGACAACAAATAAAAATTTGATAAAACACAAAATATTTTAAGCAAATGAACATTTTTAACAAATATATGAACTTTTATGAACCAAGGACATTTGAGCATTTATCAAAGTAATCATTTGATATAAATTGTACATTCCCCTCTTGAATATCTTTAATTGTTCGGAAACAGGTTTTCAGTGATACCATAACTGACCTCAGCGATGAGAAATATCAATCTGATGCTATTTAAAGATATCTAAAATCAAATACTAGCTTTGCCTATTATGAATTGAATTTCTGGATAAAAATTTTACTGATGAAATTAAATCTTAAAGCAGCAGCTCACACTGATCAATCATCAACATATAAAAATGATACTAGATGTAGAATAAACTATGGTATTCAACGAAATCGATTTATTTTTGATAGGACTTTTCCCATCGATAAGTTTGACCAGAACGGAAACAGATTTCACTGTTTCTCATCAACTATAATGCTTAGATTGTAAGCAATCGATGAGAAACCATTGAATGAAATCCATTTACTTCACAATAGAAGTTAATATTGTTAAAAAGTTTAGGTAAATTTCTCATCATTTTTAATAACAGGAATGCATTCATGTATCACAATAGGATGAACAAGGTGTTACTTTTGTCATTTTGAAAATTTCTCCTCATTTATTCTGTAATGTGTACTACGAACATTATATATATATATATATATATATATATATATATATATATAGAGAGAGAGAGAGAGAGAGAGAGATGAGCAGATTGAACGAGAACATGAACATATAATATGTAATTTAAAACTAACGCATGTATCAATCTTAGAATGTCTTGCAACCAACGCTCTCATTTTGTGACTTCTACCAAACATTCATGAAATGAAAACAAGACTGACAACTTGATTGGAAAAGGTCTAAAGGAGGCTGAACCCAAAATAGATGAACACCTGGACACCTTATTTATGTCTGTAATGAAATAGAAAAAACCGAGTTTTTGAGATTCTATATTAAATGTCATTTTTGAATAGACAGGGGATATTTGTTCAATAGACCATCCAGATTCATCAAAATGAAAAAGATTTACTTTAAAATCTTACGTTTACTCCCTTTCTACCACTGACATATTGAAGCAGACAATACCGATAATTTCCAACTATTCAGCGATATTGATTCCTCATTTTTACCTGTTTTTAATTTAACAATAATAGTAATGAAGGAGACGTAAATAAGTATTTCTTGCCAAAAATATTGACTATCGATATTATTCCTTTGAAGAGACGAGAAATATCTTAAATGTTTATTTGTACAAATACTCATATGTAATTTTAATATAATTCCAAGCTTCAGAAATATTTCTCTAATCGAATGAATTGTTTCCTAATTTTGCTTAGGATGTAAAAACAATTCGTGGCACATTAATTAGTCAGGTTGAAGCAAATCGACAAAAAAGTAAACGATTAAAACAATTAGTTGAAGAACGTCGGGCAACTGTAAGTGATTTATGAATCTTCGCATAATTTTCGATAGATACTGTTCTGTTAATAATAATATCAAAATATTATTAAATGAAAGCTTAATGCAAGTTTATTCAGGTATATAAGCATCAAAAAACCCTGATAGCATTTTAACAATGGTTCAACGAATACAAAATAGAATTAAGTCAAACTTGTGCACGCTTTTATTCATGTTACCAGGTCGGAATCAGAAAATCAATATATTTAGATTCATGTCTGTTACTGATTGAAGCTGACGGAATGTAGGGATTATCAAAAAATTGAAAAATATTAGTCATCGAGTTCTAGCAGCATATGATTATTGTTAAAAAGTTGAAGCAGCTTGGTTTCTAGTCTTAGTATGTGTCCGAAACCCATAATTATTAAGTATCTCAAACTGAGATTGAAATGTGCTCCTCAATGTTTTTTAATAAACTATGTTAAGTTTAACTATTTTTTAGAATTGAATTTATTTCTAATATGCAAAATTTCCACCTATGTATCTCCTCAGTATTCCTTTCACGCTTACTTTGTATTGGACTATAAAACTATCTAAAGTGTGTGGTGTTGTTAAAAGTTTAATACACTTAGTAAGGTAAATGAGCTAACAACTTAATCAGCATAATATTTCATTATATATTTTTAAAAAAAATATTGCACAAACTATAGACTTTTGAGTAACTAAATAGTTAAGTATCAGTATAAGAAGTTCTTACAATTGGCTGATCACTGAGTAGTGACCATTGTCATATATATTTAGTCATTCTTGGTATTAGTGGAATTTTATCGATTCGTTTGCAATGTGGCCACTAGTCTAAGCGACTCAACATCGCGTACGCTATGTTGGGATGTAAGATAGTAATTAGAGATATCTTGTCGACTATCTCCGACCATCACCGTAAAAGAAATCTATTTAACAGTAGAGATTTAGTACAACGAGATTTCAAAAATTTAGCTAAGTCTCATATGATATGAAATAAGATTCTCTCAATAATTCATAAATCATTTATTATAATTTAGAAGGTCCATCGACTTTATCCTGAACACTAAAATAATCTGGTGTCGGATAAAGAATTCATTTATGGTTACAATAAAAGCTATGAACAAATACATCTACAGTTATTTATTAGTTTAGCGGAGATAACTGTGTAATATTACTTGCAGTAAGAGAGATAATGCTTTATTGCAGTAAAGTCTAGTCTAAAAGAATACGAGAATTTTCAGTAAAGTACTTTCATTTTCCTAATAGAAAGTTTTCAATAATTTCTATACTTTGATAATGAATGCCATAATAAATAACGAAATTATGAAAATCAAGATATATTCTAAGCAAAGATGGAAGATGGCTGGCACTGAGATCTAGGACGCCTCTTCGTCCTATTTGAGACTTGTGCGTTGAATATGTCTGCATTCGAGAGTAAATGTTCACTCCGAGACTCATTAAACATAAATGGAAAGATTCCAACAACCAATATTTACATAAATACAAAGCAAAATTCACTCTATTGAACAGGCCGCTGGCTATCTAGAAACTGTAGCTAAGTGCATTCCGCGATGGTGTTTGAAGCGAACGGTACTGGACTCGAGTCCCAGAGTGAACTATGGGATGCAAGTCCATCCAGATGACGAGTCCTAAATAGAACGAAACACGCGTCGTGGACCTCATTGATAGCCACCGTCTATTTCTGATTTAAATGCTTGTAACTCAGTGGCAATATTGAGGCAATTCGCACAGGATGCATATATGCCAAAAGTGACTGATCAATTGCAATCCTAAACGTCAGTTAAATTATAACAAAAAATTACAGTTGTTGAAATTTTTTCTAATGTTTTGCACCAATTATGATACAGCGATATTTATTGTCAAATACATTTATAGCTACGTTCTATTCAATTAATTTTGGTTAACAAAGAAGATATAGTTATAGAATTACTTTATGTGCTTCTGAGAAGAAGTATCTAAAGACTGCGGTCTACTTAGATGTAATTTAACTTTGAATAGATTGACTATTATACAATCTGTTAAGTTATAAATTATATTTGTATATTTAGGTGGATGGAAGGCATTTATACATAATTCAAACGGTAAGTGTTAATTATTTAACGAATTTTCATTATTCATTAACAATCGGCTAGTATTTTATTTGTTTTATACGGTTTGTAACGACTCATATAGGCTTGAAACATGAACAATTAATCAGAGTTACAACCATTTTGTGCATTTATATGACAGATTAGTAAAAAGCATTTTGTGGATTTACCTGACTCACGCATATTTCAGTGTAATCTTATCTGTGATGTGCAGGTCTCTATATTCATGCTTGTCTATCTCCATTCGCTTATAAAATTGTTCATCTGTTTTGATATGTAAGCTAACTTTTCAGACATTTTCCATTCATTTAGCATGTCAGTTTGATCTTCACCGGTTGCTTCGGTTCAATAATCTAAATTCATCTATATAGTCTTCTATGAACATATTACTGTAGCACAACCAAACTTGCGGGATCAAAAAGACAACTAAACAGAAAGTTAGACCTTGGAATTAAATTTCCAGTAAACATTATGCTCTCACAGCAGCATTCACGGACTAAATGAACCGAACAATGCTAGATATTGAACTTTGAGAGGCAGATTCATTATAAATTGAGAGAAATTTGTCTTATTCCGGTTTATATTTCATCATATTAGG